GGGAGAGAGGGAGAGAGGGAGAGAGGGAGAGAGGGAGAGAGGGAGAGGGGGAGAGCGAGAGAGAGACAGAGAGAGAGAGAGAGAGTGCTCAAAGTCAGCCATGATCAATTCTCAACTCAAACTGTAGGTTTCACAAAGAGAGAGACGGAGAGACGGAGAGAGGGATCCCTCAATAATAAGGTTAAAGGAAGCATTCCGGAGCACCGCCAACCGAAACAACTCCTGCTTGGCAGTGGAGGTATTGTGCAGCACTCTTCCTTCAAGAGTAGCATGGCGGTGAACACTGAAACAACATCAGGCTTGTTGGCGTTTGGTCAAGGAAGCTGAGTATAACAGGTGAAATTGCAAATTGATTTGCAGCAAAAGGATGATATGTCTTTTTCATGTTGGAAGATGAGAGATGTCGACTGTCCCAGCTTCTTGGATAGACGACATGGATTGAGACTTTGGAGACTTCTCTGATCGCCGCTGGCGAAAACCTCACCATGGCCAGCGAAATGATGGCATGTATGCATGTCTCAGGATATGGAGATGCTTGGCTGCAGGGGCCTCTGGAAAACCTAAAGACACAGACTCGGCCTTTCAGATACGATATGAGACAGATGAATGCAAGAGAAGAACAAGGGCCTCGGATCGCCTTTCCAGGCAGAGGCGTGTCCTGAAGAGAGAAGGACATACTACGACCGACATCGTGTCTCAAAGTTAGGGGACTGTGTGATCACCTATATTCATAAACATAAACCTACAGCAAAGGATGCAATGCACCAATGCACCAGTGCAACCTCAGAAAAGCAACCACTCCAACGACCGCTCCTTGGAAGAATTTGACGCTAGGAGCTGTGTCACCAGGTTGTCACCGAAGGTTGGTCTAGTCACGTCTATTGTTGGTGCACAGTTTTGAACGAGCTGGTGGAACCAGGAGGGAGCTAAAGAACCAGGACTATCCATATTGCCATACTCCCCGACATGAGCAGAGAGCCGCAGGGAGTCCCCCAACTACTTGCTAGTTAGGGACTCCAGGATTTCCGACCATGCAAGCTGCAACCTCATCATGGATGGGCCATAGCTTCAGAGTACATGGCACAACATCCATCAACATGCAATCTCCTTCGAAACTATTGTTTTAAACATCAGTCTGGTGATAAACCGCTTTTCGTACCCTATTTGTCACTAGACAGCACCCCTTTTTTCAACATCCAACATGGCCCTAAATATCCTCATATTATGGCTCTATAAACCAAGAAAAACAGCCTCACTAAATAACATAAATTCCACCAAATCGTCTGACTCAAACATGTCACCATATACACAACATACCTCCACACGCCCTTCTTTCCTGTGGGTGTGTCTTGGAAAACTCTCCTATTGACATAGATCGACTTTGGGGTAAAGAATCTTTACTCCAAAGTCGATCTATGTCAGAAAACAACTATTGTTCACCCTTTCACAAAGGAGTTGGACGTCAAAAGGAGATCCATTTTCTCCACTCGTGTGAACTCTCCAGCATGTCTCGCGGGTTCACTCCGAGTTGCCGAGGACCAGGTGGAGCAGCTGCTGACGGCGTCGCAGGAACCGAAGCCGCAGGTCACCAAGAGCCTCTCGACGTGGAACGATGGTTGCCGGTGGGTGGAACCTGCGCCTTTTGGTCGCTGAGAGGTTGGGAAGTGTCCTATTAACTGGGATGGAGGTGGGCAGCTGAAACCAGCCCTGAGTGGTGTTGACCATGTGAAACGGTTTCGGTGGTTGAAGCTGCTGGAATTGGGAGGCGATGCTGTTGGCCTGGCCTCCGCTCGATGTGACGTGGATCAAATCCTGCACCGCCTATGATGGTCTGATGGACTAAGGATGCATCAATTAAGATGGGAACATGTTTGGTCAACAGGTGATGGAATGAATTTGTTCATCATTCTGACATTGACGATGTGTTTCTGGATGTTGGTCAAAACCAGGATTCCTTGCTTGCCCTACCTGGAAGGTCAAGCTACATGGTGTTGGGGCTCCAGGTTTTGACTCCTGGATAGAATTGAACTCTGGACCATCAACGCCCCGGGGACCGCCCAGAAACCAGACCGTCTTCTGGGCGCAAAATTGCCAGCAGGTAAGTCACAGCTGTCATAGCCTTTGTGTCTTATGCGTCTTATGCGTATGGCATATGTGCCCTCCCTCCAATCATGGAGGACAGAAGCGGACCCCCTGGGGCCAAGGACCATGGTCTTCCAAACTCGGGGCCAAGGCGTTCCACGTCTCCGCATGGGAGTGTGACGTCACACCCGCCATGACTACCAGAGCTTGAAGAACCCGAACTAGACTATCCGAGTTCGGTACCCCTGGTCCACTGGTCCGAACGTTCAGGTCACTGGATACCTCTCTATTTAAGTCATGTTGCAGCGGTGGTCCGTCCCATTGGAAGTCGTTCCAGGGGGGCCAGCTCTTGGTCCGTGTCCGGGCCGTGGCCCTGGCGCCGGGGGACGTGCGGGTGATGAGTGGAAAGACCAGCCTGGTGCAAGGGCCACCAAGCTTCCCGTATGTGCCAGGCGAGGGGGGTTAGGGTGGACATGGGTGGACTGAGAGCATGTGAAGGAGGTGTTGTTGTTCGATGGTCGAAGTAGGTCGAAGTAGGCAGTCTGGTATGTCGACACAGATGGGAAAGGACCGTCGAATTGCAGAAAGGCATGTGAAGGAACTGTATTTGACACTCCCAACCATCATTGCCGGCTCGAAGAACCTCCCGTCTACTCCAAACACTCCAGTAGAACACAGCAGAACCACAGGGTGTTGCAGGGGCCATTGGGGACCCAACCCATACCGAACCGAGCAAACCAAAGTGCCAAAATTCAAAAGGCAGAGGTTGCATCCATGTGGCTCTTCGTCCTATGGCTCAAGCGCTCTCGACTCGAGAGCGATCTCCAGTAGCGATCCGAGTAGTGAAAGTGGCTGGCCACGCCTCGCAGAACGTGGGGGGCATGGCCGCGGTACCATTCGCAAAGCCACTGGCCTTCTTCACGGTCCTGGTGGCGGCAGAGGTCGTGGTGACGGCAGCAGCGGAAGACCAGCTGCAAAAGGAGGTGGATAGCCTGTTGAGTCTTCGAAGCCATGAGGTCGAGCCACCAGCCGATGCCACTCGACAGCGGCGGGAGGTGGAGGTGAATGGGGCAGAGGATCGAGGTGAAGCTCAAGCAGCTTCAGCAGCTTCCATGGCGCAGGCGCTGCTCGAAGAGGAGAACAAGGAGCTACGTGAGGAACTGCAGAGGCAGATGCCAGCTCATTCGAAGGCCTCATTGCTGGAAAGTAGCTCCACAGGTTCCTCTGAATCACAGGCAGCACAAGCGGCCCGATGGAAGCTTGCAGCGTTCCTTCAAGTGACTATGGTTCTCGTTACGATGCTGGTTCTATCAGTGCTTTACTGCAGCAGCCGCACCGCAGCGCCTTCGCCACCAGCGAAGTCCAAGCCAAAGTACGGCAGCTCAGACTATGCCAAGGGTCGACGAGTGAAAGCTCCAAAAGGCGTGATCGATGAGGACGAGGAGCAAGCCTGGAGCGACCTCCGCTTTGCTCGACCTTCAGAGATTTGGACCCGCTCCTGAGCGCACCCCCCGCGCCCCGTTTCACTGCTGGGCCAAACGATACAGGTGCAACTCGCATAACGACAGCTTAGCGAGTAAAAGGAGCATAGAACATCATAGAACCATACGGCATTTACTGTTAGAAATTATGTAATACAGTGAAACTGTGAAACGTGGAATACTTCGACTGTACTGAATTTGTTATCGTTTTGATGCGCTTGGGTGCCAACAGTCGTGTTAAAAAGAACCTCCGTGTTTGCAGTCATTTGTTTGCTCAATGGGTTCGACTCAGCATGTCACCTGGCCCAGTTCCGTTCATATTCGCCTCAAACTGATGTGTCCACGTGCTGAAAAAGAGGCTCGATGATGCTCGATGCATAGCGATGGGCGAAACAGGCTTGACAAACGATAACCATTGTTTTCAGCGCCAAAGACGGACCGCGGTCTTGTTCCAGGGAGTTGCATGGTCACATTCGGTCACCGAGAGTCTTGATGGTTTGCGCCATGCCCTCGACAGGCCACCCCAAGATGAAATAAGATGAAGACATGTGCGCACAGTTGGCTTGGCGTGGTTCGATCGACACAGACGACTCCCCTGCTTGGGCTTCAAAACCGCCAATTCGTCAGACGGGGCATGGGAACTCATGGGCCCAAAGGGTCCGGACGAAAGGGGAACATCGGTCCGGTTCGTGGTTCGGCGGCTTCAGGTGGGTGAGGGAACCGGACGGTCCGTGGCAAGCGCTGTCTCCGGTCATGATGAGATTATAGCTGGTTTTTCCAAGCTCAGGTGTCAGGCTGAACTGATTCATAAACCTTTTCCCAGTTGTTGCCGTGAAATTCTGAGAATCGGTCACACGAAAATCCGATCAAGGCGGAATGGCCTGGGGCCCAGCCCCCAACCATCCCCAACCAAGAACATCCCGTCTCTTCCATACCCTCCGGCCATTGGGGACCCAATCCATACCAAACCTACCAAAGCAACAGTACTGAAGGCAGAGGTTGCTTTCAGTACTGGTGAAGATCCTGGATCTCCTACACATGGGGACTAGCATGGTGAACTACTCTGGGGCAAACATGGGCAAACCATGGCAAACCTATTTTCGGACCCACATCCATGTCGCTCTTCTCCATGAACCCTCCACAGGGGCCACATTTGTTCAGCTTTTTTGACTTCTGATTTTCGAGTTCATCAGGAGTCGGG